AGGAGGCTGTGTTCTCATTCTGGCTGTGACACTGAATGGCTAAGCTTGGGCAAGGTTCTTCCTTGTGGGATTCAGTTTCCTCGTCTGTGAAGTGGGGCATTGGACTAACTTATTAACAGTTCCTTCAGGCTTTTCTATGATGTCATCACAATTGCTTTTATTTATTAAATAATGCTTTATCACAGCCTGATAAGCTCCTCTCTGTACACCGGGCTTTGTGAGTCAATGTCAAACCTTCAGTTGGCATCAAATTGTTACTGACTCATGTGTGTGTATGTGCATATATATATATATGTGTGTGTGTGTGTGTGTGTGTGTATGTATGTATATATAATATATACATATAGAGTTGGATAAAAATAAAAACCAAATATTTTTAAAATGAGAAAATAACACCAATTTCCCTCAGTTGTAGCTTTGGACCCTCCTTGTTTAGGTTGCTGTTTTTTTAATTTTTAATTTTTTCCCTCTTTCACCTATTTCACAATAGTGATGTTCCAATTTTCAAGTTTGGGGAGCCAGTGTCCCTCTTTCCCTCCCTTCCTCTTCTTTTGGCTCCTCCTCTGGTTCCTCCCGCTTCACCACTAGCTCCTCCCCTTCTCCTCCGGCTCCTCTCTCTTCCTCCCTGTTTTCTATTAATCTTGGTGCTCCTGGAGAGTGGAACCTCTCTCTGTGGGGTTCCTTAAATCTTATATGAGGATCAGGTTTTCCTGCCTTTACTCTGAAAAGAGAGCCAAGTGGAACAGTCCATTTCTCTTCTCAGAATAGCTTTATCACATGTTGCATGGGTCAGTTAACAACCTTTCAGCCAGGTTGTTTTGAAAACCTTGGCAGTTGCCTCCTTGAAAAAATTTAACTCCCTTAAAGAGCTTAAAGTAGCACTTTTTCTTACAGCATCAAATTGAAGAAGATTTAAAAAAAAATGCTTTCTATAAGAGATGCACTTTATTTTTTTTAATTTGTTGTTAATTGGAGGATAATTGCTTTACGACATTATGTTGGTTTCTGCCATACAACAATGTGAATCAGCCATAAGTATGCAGATGTCCCTCCCTCTTGAATCTTCCCCCATCTCCCCATCCCACCCCTCTAGGTTGTCACAGAGCACTGTGTTGACCTCCCTGCACTATACAGCAACTTCCCATTAGCTATCTATTTTCCATACAGTAATGTATATATTTCACTGCTACTCTCTCAATTCGTGCCACACTGTCTTGCCCCCGCTATGTCTAAGATCTGTTCTCTACATCTGCGTCTCTATTCCTGCCCTGCAGATAGGTTCATCAGTACCATTTTTCTTAACATCTAGCAGGTTGGTATTCTCTGAGTCTATCCTGCAAGTTATTGATTACTCGAGAAGATTCACTAAGAATTTTGAATATGATGGAACTTGCAGTAGCTTGGAGACTAGTAGTCATCAACTAGATGGGATTTTATGAGCCAACACTTGGGCAACAAATGATAGGTGAAACTGAAGATGTAGGTTTGATGGATGGATGATACGATACACCTCTGGACCCTACTCACAGGACTCTGCACACCAGGCAAGACGTGGACTCCTCTCACTAATGTGGTTGATTCAAATGGGCTTAGGGAAGCAGACACACACTGAAATGATGTGGTCTGGGACCAAGACATGACCAGTTAACTAACAGGGGGCTGAGCAGTACTCAGGCGGGAAGTCAACATTTGGGTTGTCAAGCAGGAAGGCAGCTAGAAATCTCAGCCAAATCAAAGGTCAAGGTGCAGTTTAACCCAGGGGTGAGACCCAATAGAAGGCAGAGCACTGATGTATGCATCAATTGTTGGGGTCAGGCTGTGAGGCAAGTACAGAAACAAACAGAATTGTGGGGAAGCCCAGGCTTCCCTGGTAGCTCAGACAATAAACAATCTTCCTGCAATGCAGGAGGTCTGAGTTCCTTCCCTGGCTTGGGAAGATCCCTTGGAGAAAGGAATGGCAATCCACTCCGATATTTTTGCCTGGAGAATTCCATGGACAGAGGAGCCTGGAAAACTAGTCTATGGAGTCACAAAGAATCAGTCATGACTAAGTGACTGACATTTTCACTTTTCAGGTACAGAAGGATATGGAAATGAAGGTAGTTAGAATTGTAGGGATAATGAGGAATTCTGCAGAAGTCAAAGTAAGTGGAGGGGAGGGGAGAAAAAGAAACATAATCCCACTTCTTTAAGTGATCCTGATGTTGAAGCAAGCTTTTCTTGGTTGGCAGCTCTCCTACTGCAAGGTGAACACAGCAGAACTGGCTCAAGGCAGCTGGGAGCCTGAGGGAAGACCCTGATCTCCATTTATGGATGAGGGTTGTTTTTAAGGGAACAGATGCCCATTCTCTTCTTAGTTTTTAATAGTTTAGGGAAGGTGACTCCACAAAACAATTTAAGCAGAAAATCTAAACAGAGTTGTTGACCCCAATTCCACAATTCCCTATGGTAAAAAAATATTGGATACTTGGACACCTGATTAAATAAATTAGTCTAGCTTCATATAGTAGAAAATTCTAGTTATTAAAAATGCAATATAGGTTTTGTTTTTTTCTTTAGAAAGCAATTACAGGGCTTTTATTGCCTGGGATAGACATTTTCCTTAGAGAATTGGTCTCATGCTCCTTTCCCTCCAGACTGTTATGCTTAGAACACAGAATGAATGAGAGCTTCATGTGGGAAGCATGATAATGTCTGTAAAATTCTGTAAAATGCTTGGTAGTTTTGTTTTCATATTTATATTGGGGAATATCTACTGTTCAGTCACTAAGTCGTGTCCAACTCTGTGTGAACCCATGGACTGCAGCATTCCAGACCCCCTTGTCCTTCTCTGTCTCCCTGAGTTTGCTCAGATTCCTGTCCATGGAGTCAATAATGCTATCTAACCATCTCATCCTCTTCCACCCCCTTCTCCTTTTGCTTCAATATTTCCCAGCACCAGAGTCTCTTCCAATGAGTCGGCTCTCTGCATCAGATGGCCAAAGTACTGGAGCTTCAGCTTCAGCATCAGTCCTTCCAATGAATATTCAGGACTGATTTCCTTTAGGATTGACTGGTTTGATCTCCTGTACTCCAAGAGATTCTCAAGAGTCTTCTTCAGCACCACAGTTCAAAAGCATCAATTTTTTGCCATTCAGCTTTCTTTATGGTCCAACTCTCACATCCATACATGACTACTGGAAAAACTATAAGTTTGACTATAATGAGTGAAAAAACCAAACAAACAGGCAATAGAGAGAAATATGTTACTATACCAGTTAGAAAAACATGATGCTACTGAAGTAGACACACTCACGCATGTGTGAACATGCAGGACTGAAGTTCAGCCAATGTAAGGTGATATGGTCATGTAGACATACTATTGATGTGTCTGTGCCTTTGATCTGTCAGTGCTTTTCCTATACTAGTTGTTAAATATTTAAAATACTATTCCTGTGTATATGTATTAGAAAATACTCCTCAACATACTGTGTCCATCTTTGGGTGAGTTCTTGGGATTTCCACTTTTTTCTCCATATTTTTTTAACAGTTTGCATATATTAATTTTACAGTCAGAATAAATAATAAAGGGTTTTTTTGGAAAAAATTATATCAAATATGCCTAAGCAAAAAACTTTTTTTTTTTTTTAGAAAAGAGCTTCTGATATTGGTAAGCATTGCAGGCAAACTCTTTCTTTGGTCTTTGAGAAATCTGGCACTTTTTCTTCAAAATTATGCTTTCATGGGAACTGGCTTCTTAATTATGGTACCTCAAATATCAAACTTCATTTTTGTTTTACAAGATCACTAGACTGCTTAGGCAAACATAGGAAGCCTAATTTGTCTAGATTTCACAGCTAACAAGTTCTCTCATGATAGCCTTTTAAAAAAAATCATGCATTTTTTTATTTTGTTGCATCAGGTCTTCATTGAGTCACACAGGGCCTTTTGTTGCAGTGCACTGACTCTGTAGTTGTGACACTCGTGTTTCAATAGTTGTGTCATGTAGACTTGGTTGCTCCGGGTCATGTGGGATCTTAGTTCCCTGACCAGGGATCGAACCTGTGTCCCTGCTTTGTAAAGTGGATTCTTAACCACTGGATCACCAAGGAAGTTCCTCCTAGGAACTATGAGCTGGATGCAGAGACACATGAAAGGGTTGACAGCCCATAGCCACAGAGCCCTGTTTAATGAGCTTCAGTGGCAAACTGGAGTATGATTATTTTGGTCAAACCCTCAGCCTCTGTCCTCAGTCCTGTGCTGGCCAGTATTTGGGTGGAAACAAAAATTCAAGGGCATACCTATAGAATATGTGGTTGATTTGAAGTCAAGAGGAAGAACGGCAAACATTTTGAGTAAAAGAATACAATAAGAATCCAAAATGCCAGAGAAAACACAACAGAGATTAATGCCAGATTCTTCACTGGGGTCTATAAACCCAGGCACAAGTTGGGCTGGGGAACACGACCCAGCAGCAAGGCTCTGGGACTTGGTCAATGGAAAATGCAATGTGCATCAGAAGCATAATGAGGGAGCTGGAAAAGCTATAGGGATCCTGAGTGGCATTTACAGAAATGAAGCATTCACAAGGAGGAAGGCATTAATCTTGTACTATAGTAAATGTCAACAAGAGCAACTGAACCTATTTGCAGGGCAGGAATGAGATGCTGACATAGAGAACTAAAATGTAGACATGGTGGGGGCGAGTGGGAGGGTGGGACAAATTGGGAGTTTGGGATTGACGTATATACTTTGCCATGTATAAAAAGAGAACTAGTGGAAGCCTCCTCTATAGCACAGGGAGTTCACTTCAGTTCTCTGGGATGGGCGGGTGGGTGGGAGGGAGGTCCCAGAGGGAGGGGGATATGTGTACAGTTATGGCTGATTCACTTCTTTGAATGGCAGAAACGAACACAACATTGTAAAGCAATTATACTCCAATAAAAAAATGTTGGCTGTTCAGAGGTGGGGTGGGTTGCCTCATGAAGGGGCCTCCAACTCAGTGTCCCTTCCTTCCCCAGCCCTCTCAGGAGGTGGTGAAGGAGATGATACAATTCTCCAAGGATACATTGGAAAAAATTGACAAGGCTCGCTCTGAGGGTTTGTACCACGAGGTAAAAATTCATTTTTATAGGGGGTGGGGGGGGGAAGAGGTCAGAAAGTTTCTCTAGTAAAGGAGGGAAATGGTGGGGGGCAGTCAAGATGGGGAGGCTACCAAGCAGGTTTTTTTCTGGAAGATGTCCCATGGTTGAGACCATGACTCTTCTCGCCCTTAAGCCATGTAGCCTCTTTTAGGGGTGTGTTTTCACTGATGGTTCAACTCACTAAAACTGGATTTGAGGAAAGCACAGGCAGCCTGACAAATGTCCCTGGGGTTTGGGAGATGGTCTGTAATATTTTAGGTTGGCATCAGGGATGGAGGAATGGAAATGGCAGTGGATGGCTTGCTTTCTGGTAACTGAACGTGTGTCCTGCCTACAGTTTCCAGGCTCTTCTAACTATGCATTCAACCCTGGCTCTACACTAGAGCCAGGCCGTACACTAGAATCATTGAAAAATACTGATGCCCAGGACAGTCCTTCCAGAATCTCTTAGCATGGGACATCAAGATTTTTAAAGCTCCCACGTGGTTTCAATGTGCACCTAAAGCTGAGACCCACCAACAACACCGACCTGCAGAGCACTTACTTGCATTGAATTCACTCAGGCAGTTTGCTGGAAATACAGATTCCTGTGCCTCACCCCCTGAGATGTGATTCACCCAGTCTGCAACAGAACACAGGGATCATCACAGTAGTTTTTTTTTCCCTCCAAGCTCTTTAAACAACTTGTGTGGCTGGGTTTGGATGCCACTAGGGTGTGGCAGTGTGGGAGATTCATTTCTGTTCATTTATATCAGCTTTTCCATTGTCTTCACTCTTCTTTCCTCACTCATTCATTGCCCATTTTTGACCCTTTATTGAGGTGACTTACACAGGACATGCTGCTTGCCTCCCAGGAGTCTGTCAAGTCTCAGGGAGAGTCCCCATGAACAAAGTGTTGCTGTACAATATAAAAAATCTAGAGGTTTGAGGTAGGAGCTTCAGCCCCTGATTCCATTCCTTTGTCCTCTCTTCTTTGTTTGTCCTCTTCTGCGCTCAAGCTGGGCAGGGCCAGATGTAGGGCTGGACACTGCCTAAGAGTTCATGATTGTTTTCAGGATGGATTGTTTGTTAGCTCACACTCCGTCACACCCCCACCCAGTTGCCCCAGGGGCCTCAGGGAGAATCTCAGAGAAAACTAATTTCCACTCATTAGAAATGGAAAGAATTGTGTGACGTTTCTCCTATGAGATTGGCAAGGGAAAGAGAGGAGAGCTACGAACCACTAAAATCTAGAAACCATCTGACTTTGTAGGGCATCATTGAAGCTATGTCTACATGTGACTTAGTCAGGAAGGCCTGACTCCAAGTCCATTGGGATTGAGCCCATCTTCTTCCTCACCAGGACCAATGTGGCCTCCTTCTAGTCAGTCTCCTGGACCCTCTCTCTGCCAATCCATCCTGCACACCTCTACCAGGTCATGACTGTCCAATGTCACTGTGCATAAGGGCCACCCAGGGGCAGATACAAGCTACAGATGCCAGGGTCCCTCCCTTAGATATTTAGTTTCTTTGGTCTAGGGTAGGACTCAGACACTGGGATTTTACAAAGCTCTCCAGGAACTTACATAGATTTTGTCCCAATGGTACCTGAATGCACATTGGTATCACTAGTCCAAATGATGCATTTTATAGCCGTAGAGGTGTGGAAATGGAACCATAGCCTGGATTCTACTGATTACATCACTTACCGTACTACACATGTCCTCCTGGCCTAATAAAAAGTTTTATAAGGCTGTCAAAGGCTCAGGTCAAGCACTGCTTTATAAGCAATACTTCATGAGAAGGGGCCATATCTTCCAGGATGTGGTATACTCTATGTTTTCCAGCTTTATTGAAGCATAGTTAAGAAGTAGAAATTTTACTTGTTCAAGGTGTAAAATAAAAAAAACTCTCCAGATGATTCCAAAGCACAGCCACGATGGAGAATCATGGACATGATGGTTAAGATAAAGCTCCATTGGTTGGTTTGAATCTGCCCTCCATCACTCACTCTCTGTGTAACTTTGGCAAAGCACTTACCCTCTTTGTGCATCTGTTTCCTCATCTGGGAAAATGAGGATATTAGCAGTACCTCTCTCATCATGCTGTTGTGAGAAGAAGTAGTGTATGAATATAGCTTTCATAACTCCCTACTGACTTCTCTTTTAATTGGAGGATAATTACAATGTTGTGGAGGTCTCTGACATATATCATTGCCAATCAATCATAATTATATATGTATCTCCTCCCCTTTGAGCCTCCCTCCCTGACACAGTCCACCCTTCTAGGTTATCATGGAGTGCCGGGCTGGACTCCCTGTGTTATATAGCAGCTTCCTGCTAGTTATCTATTTTACACATGATGGTATATATATGTCAACGCTACCTTCTCAGTTCGTCCTTCCCTCTCTTTCTCCCAATGTGTCCATTCTTTATATCTGCGTCTCCATTCCTTCCCTGCAAGTAGGTTCATCAATACAATTTTCCATATTCCACATATATGCATTAACATATGATATTTATTTTTCTCTTTTTGACTTGCTTCATTTCACTCTGTATGACAGCTCTAGGTCTATCCATATCTACAAATGACCCAGTTTTGTTCCTTTTAATGGCTGAGTTTCTTTTAATATACCATTGTGTGATTCCATTACTCTTAAGCAGTTCTATTTAGGTTTCTGTCAATTGCCAAGGAAACTCCTGACTAGTACACATATACACAGCAGACAGGAAACTTAGTTCATGTTTGTCTGGCCACCTTCCATGCATATCACCTCACTGCATCCTCACATGGCAGAGGTATGGACACAGAGAAAGATGTCTGCATCTCCATCTCTTCTCTGTGAATAGGTTCACCAGGACTATTTTTCTAGATTCCATTTGTTGTTGTTCAGTCATGTCAGACTCTGCAACCCCATGGACTGCAGCACCCCAGGCTTCCTTGTCCTTCACTTCCCTGTCCTCCCGGAGTTTGTTCAGACTCGTGTCCATTGAGTCAATGATGCCATCCAAACATCTCATCCTCTGCCATCCCCTTATCCTCCCACCTTCAATCTTTCCCAGGGTCAAGGTCTTTTCCAATGAGTCAGCTCTTCACATCAGGTGGTCAAAGTATCAGAGCTTCAGCTTTAGCATCAGTCCTTCTAACAAATATTCTAAATTCCATATACATGCATTAATATGAAATATTTGTTTTTGTCTTTCTGACTTACATCATTCTGTGTAACAGGCTCTAGGGGTCATCCATCTCACTACAACTGACTCAAATTCTTTTCCTTTTTATGGCTGAGTAGAATTCCCTTGTATATATGTACCATTCATCTGTTAACAGACTCCATACTAACTTCTATGGTAACTCCTCATCCTGCCATGTCAGCGCTGTGTCCCACTCTTACCCTTTCCATCCCTGCATCTTAGCCAAATGAGAACCATTTTTCTCTTCAAATCACAAGCTGGTGCTTTCCCATCTCTGTTAGCAGTTTCCTCAGTCTTTAAAGCAGGAGTGTCCAGTGGCATCATGATGCTCCCATATGTGAATTAAGCTTGTGCTCTGGTGCAGTGAGTGTGGACAGGGCTTGTGTCTCCTAGGTTGTGAAGTTATGCCGGGAGTGCCTGCAGAAGCAGGAGCCAGTGTTTGCCGACACCAACATCTACATGCTGAGGCTGCTGAGCATTGTTTCCGAGGTCCTCTCCTACCTGCAGGCCTTTGAGGAGGCCTCACACTACGCCAGGAGGATGGTGGATGGCTACATGTAGGTGACGATCCTGGGTCTCAGGTAGCCTCCAGAAATGTGTCTGTTTCAGTGATGGTAAGAAGATGGCAGGCATACCACTAGATCCCTCCCTCTGGCACCCACAACAGGCATTAGTAATCGATCACCATCCTTTTTATGACCGAACGTCTTTATCATGGTGTGCCCAGCAATAATGTCCAAATAATCAGATCTGATACTTGAGATGAAATCTGTGTGTCAATCTTAGTCTTTCCCACCTCGAGGTTGTCTATTATTTGGGTGGCATCTTCTGCTTTTGGTTTCCTTAAGGCTAAATCTGGCTCGATTTTAAGTGCCTAGAAATGTTCCCCCCACCCCCAACCAATCAACCAATCAACAGAGGCAATTTTGCAGCTTTAGAGTTTATCAAAAGAAAAAAAAGAGAGGGACTTCCCTGATAGTCCAGTGGTTAAGACTCTGTGCTTCTACTGCAGGGGGTGAGGGTTCAATCCCTGGTTTGGGACCAAGATCCTGCAAGCCCCACAGTGTGATAAAAAACAACAAACAAACAAACAAAAAAAACAGAGAGAAAGAGAAGGAAAAAAAAGAAAGAAAATAAAAGAGGTGTGGGCCATCCTTGCTTATAAACTGTAAAAGGCAACTTCCTTGCCTTTCCTCTGCTAATGTTTTCTCTTTTCATATGTGTCCACATTGGTGTGTGAATTTGTATTTCTGGCCAAATGAATACTTTTGCATAAGGAAGTTGTATTTTTTTGAATGGAGGGTACCCTCTTCAATCCATGGAGGGTATCAGGGAGGTAAGAATACCACTTTGTCCCACGAAGAACATTCAAATTATTTTTTTCCCCTAAACTTCTTAGCTTTTTCCCAAGGAGAGGTTGAGTGCTCCTGAAGGCTGCCAGCTCCCAGTACTCAAATTCCAAGTACAATCCTGACCCCGTTTCCCTGTGAGGACTTGGCTCAGTGTCCCAGGTCAGAGTCTCTACCTCACAGCCTCACCACGTGGGGTGTTTGGCATCTGACTGTGGCTCTGTGTGCCTCAATCTATCTTTGATGGTGGATACCTCCCAGGGCTGATGGGAAAGCAAACTGACTTAGTCAGTGATGTCACTTTGTTTTATTTATTTATTTTATTTTGACTGCCCTGGGTCTTCATTGCAGTGTGCTGATGCTTCTCTCTAGTTGCCCCACAGCAAGTGGGATCTTGATTCCCCAATGAGGGATTGAACCTGTGTCCCCTGCATTGGAAGGAGGATTGTTAACCACTGGACCACCAGGGAAGTCCCATGTTCCCTTTATAAGCTGTCAAATGCTGTGCAGATGCAAGGCAGGTTGGGAATATGTGTTATGATTACTTGCTATGTTCCCACAGGAAGCTGTACCATCCCAACAATGCCCAGCTGGGCATGGCCATCATGCGGGCAGGGCTGACCAACTGGCATGCTGGCAACATTGAGGTGGGGCATGGCATGATCTGCAAAGCTTATGCCATCCTCCTGGTCACACATGGACCCTCTCATCCCATCACCAAGGACTTAGAGGCAAGTGGCATCTTGGGGCTGGGTTGGGCTCTCTGAAGATGAAAGCTGAGTACTAGATTCTGCTTTTGCAAAGACCCTAGTTGTGTCAATTCAGACATGCTTAGTCCCTCCTCTCATTTTACATCTGAAAAAACTGAAGCCCAGGAGGGAATTCAAGAGGGATTCAGACATGCTTAGTCCCTCCTCTCATTTTACATCTGAAAAAACTGAAGCCCAGGAGGGAATTCAAGAGGGATTCAGACATGCTTAGTCCCTCCTCTCATTTTACATCTGAAAAAACTGAAGCCCAGGGAAGGAGAGTAACCTGTCCTTGGTCACAAAGCGAGTGGATGGCAAAACTCAAACTTGAACCCTAGGTTGCTCCAAGCCTGGACTGAGAAAATCTAGTGGTGTGCATGTGTGTATAACAGGTACATTAGAAAACCTGCTACGTGGAGTAGAGTCAGAGAGCACAGGCTCTAGAATCAGACTACTGCTGGGATCCAATTCCTGCTTTACCACTTTTCAGCTGTGTGGCTGCTAATACTGAATGTATGGGCCTCAGTCTCCTCACCAGTGAAATAGAGGAAAAAGACAGGGTTGGCACAAGGGTTTGATGAGTTGGTGTGTGAATGGCATGCTTTTCATAGCTGCTGGTTTCCTTTGTGCTTTGAAGACTGATTTATTTGAAGGTAACAGAGTCCAAAGGACTGTTCTCAGGCAGCAGTATAGGGAAAGAGGACAGACTCTGGCGTCATAGAATGTATGAGAAGACTAACTTTATGTCAGTATATTAAGCTTGTCAAATAAGTCATTGTCACCGAATTCACTGCTCTGACCTTAGCCCTGCAGCGAAGCCTGGCCCTTGATAAATATTTCTTGAATTAACATTATGAGGGTGAAGGTTTTGCTATGTGTCACAGGCTGTAGTCTTCCTGGCACATTGTAAAGTACAAGGGCATCTCACCCATTTCAAGTATGAGCAAACTGAGGGCTGAAGGGATTAAGGAGCCAAGGTTCAAACCCAGGTCCCCACTTGGCACTTCCTAAGAATAATCTCTGCTGAGAACAGTCCCTCAAACTACTCTCTCAGTGGTTCGTGTGACTGCCTCTTCCTAACAAATGGAGCCCACTGTCAAGACATTCGACCCCCAGTGGATGAGTGTGAGTATACATGTGTGCGTGTGTGTGTAGGGTGTATGTATGTCCTTTCCAGTAGGGCCAACGTAAGTCAGAGACCGACACGTTCTGGGGCTTTGTCATCACTGTTTTCGATGTATCTGCGTCCCACAGGCCATGCGGATGCAGACGGAGATGGAACTGCGCATGTTCCGCCAGAACGAATTCATGTACCACAAGATGCGCGAGGCCGCCCTGAACAACCAACCCATGCAGGTCATGGCCGAGCCCAGCAACGAGCCGGCGCCGGCTCTGTTCCACAAGAAGCAATGAGGACCTACATGGTCGGGGAGGGGCGCTGTGGCTGGGGGACTGGGGAGACATCCTGGAGGTGGTGGGTTTCTGGGGAGACCCTTGATGAGGAAATCAGCGTAATACGCAACTTTGTTGCCATGGGAACGTACTGCTCTGTGGTCCCCGGTGTCATTTTCTTTAACTTCAACTCAGTCCAGTTCAGTTTAACTCTATCCCAGCCCAGCCCGGTCTAACTCATCCTACAAGTGTTTATTGGGTGCTAGACCTTAGGTATAAAGAAGCTCCAAAGGTAACTGGGGAGACGAAACATAAACAATTAAACACAGTGTGATAATAAATGCAATGGTAAGCTCTATGGAGAGAGGGATATGTGTCTAGCGTGTGTGTGTGTGTGTGTGTGTGTGGTCGTTGGGGGGTGGGCGGCGGTTGGTCATGGAGGAGATGACCTCTGAGCTGAGGGTGGCAGGTACCTGGAGTCTCAGATGTCTGCTCACCTATCTGTACAGGTGTCTCAGGGATGTTCAGGATTTGCTGACTGGAATGGGTGTTGTCCAGTTTCCACAGGTGACTGTGGAGTTATGAAGAAGGGACTGTGTTTGGGCCACGTGGGCCCTACTCAGAGAACTAGAACCTCTTTAATAAGGGTACTATGCAGAAGGAGATGGAGCTTTGCTCAAACCACTTAAGGCCTCAGTTTAAAGTCTGGGTTCCCAGCATTATTCTGAAACTACTTTTAGAACAGAGAGGGAGTGGCTCCCTTCCCCACCCTCTGTGTCAAGCCTTGTGATTCCCATGATGTGGGAGTAGTTGGATGTTAGCTGAGATTTCTCTGGCCATTGGCCTCCTAGGATTGAAGAAGTCTCTTTAGGGTGAAGTTGAGAGAGAAATTTGGAAACCCACCTACCTGATAATCATGGGTCCAGCAGAATTGTCCTTTGGGTATTTGATTTGGTTACATGTGCCTGGGTGGTCTATATCAGCTTACACTTCATCACTGACCCCTAGGAAATCTCTATTTTTAGTCATGAATAATTTTGACTTCCTTGGGTTAATTTCTTTCATTGTGCATACCCTGGGTTCTCTGCTTTTCTTACCGGAAGGAATGTCTAATCTGGACACTTCACATTTAGGTTGGGACCTTTTTGGGGTATGATCAACATGCCCTCATCTCCTGGGGAGCTGCTCTTGATTTTTCACTCAAGAGTGAGGGTCTTGGGAATCAACCAATCCAGCTGTCCCATTGACCTGGGACAGTTGTCCTAATTGTGCTCTTGTATCTTCTGGGAGCCCAAACTTCCCACCAGTGTTTTGGGGGATCCTGGACCAAAACCCTCTTTTTGGGAGTGTCACCAAGTCTTCTATATCCTTTGGAGCCACCCTTAACCCCAAAGCTCTGACTAATATCTTGAAGTCACATGATCCCCCCAGGACCTATATTTGTCACCTGTGCCTAAAGAGTCACTTCCTCCATCCTTACACCCCTTCATCCTCAGAATGATCCACTGCCTCCCTTGGAACATAACAGCTCTGCCAATGTGCCAAAATCTTTGTCCAAAAAGTTCTTTGTCCAAAAGATGCCAACTCTTTGCAGAATACTTGTACCTGGCACTTGGCTCTTTATTGAGGACACTTGCTTCTTTAGAACTTTCACTGGGAGAGTGACAGTTCTTCTAAGTTCACATACTACACGGCAAAGGACGGAACCAGCCCTCTCCCAGGGAGCCAGCTGTGCCAGTTCAAATGGTCCTTCTTCCATCCCCAGTCTTCCTAGGTGGCACTAGTGGTAAAAACTCACCTGCCAATGCAGGAGACCCTGGTTTGATCCCTGGGTTGGGAAGATCCCCTGGAATAGGAAATGGAAACCCACTCTAATATTCTTGCCTGGGAAATTCCATGGACAGAGGAGCCTGGTGGGCTACAGTCCGTGGGGCCACAAAGAGTTGGACATGACTGAAGTGACTTACCCTCATATAAAACCTTCCTCCAAATCTCTTTCCTTCTTTGTCACTCTCATCTGCCACACTGCTGGTCATTCCCCCATACTCCTGGTCTGTTTTCCATCCCCTCTTCCTCAAATTAGGTGTCTGTCTTCCTTTTGGCCCATGCCCCCTTCCAGTGGAGTTCTGACCTACATTAATTCAGCTGTCTTATTTTTCCTCTGTTGTACCTGGAGGTCTGTGCGCAGCCAGGAAAATGGCACCTTACATCATAGGTTCCTCCACAGACTCCTCTCCAACCTCAGCTGGCCTTGGGGTGCAGCCCAGACGTGCTCCCTGTGCCCCTCGCTGCCCCCCCCTTTTGCCCAGTGGTTATTTCAGGTCTTCACTCCGGTTCTTGAGTTCTCTGCTTTCAGCAGGCCCTCATCGCCTACTTCATGGAGGGGCCAGGAGATGGGATTTCCTGTTTCCTCTTCCCACGTGGGTTCACACATGTCATATCTGTGCTGTGCTTCCTGTCCCCCCACCCCCTTCACATTCCCTTCTCCTCCAAAGCCAAGCTCTCCACCTGTGCCTTGGACCCCTGTCCCCTCCTGGGTCTTTGAACCTCGCTTCCCCTATATGCTCTCTCATCTTGGACTCTTCACATTTCTGGCTGATTTAAAGCAGTTAATTGATATGCGGAGGACTCATAATCTTCAAAGATAACTATTTTTTAAAAGGTTTCGTCTCCCATGTTTATTAACAACTCTTTAAAAAAAAATTATTGATTTTGGATGCATTGGGCTTTTTTTTTTTTGGTTGTGTTACATAAACTCTTACTTGAGCATGTGGGATATATTTCCCTGACCAGGGATCGAACCCAGGCCCCCTGCATTGGGAGCACGGAGTCTTAGCCACTGGACCACCAAGGAAGTCCCTCTTTTTTTTTTTTAAAAAATGCCTTTTTAAAAATTGTGGTAAAAGTTACATAATATGAAACATACTATTTTAACCATATTTAACTGTACATTTCAGTGGCACTAACTACATTCCCATTGTTGTGCTAGTCTCACCATTGTCCATCTCCCCAATTTTTCACTTTCCTAAACTGAAGCTCTGTCCCCATTAAACATTAACTCCCCTCCCCGCCCCGCCCCGCATCTACCAATGTACTTTCTGGCTCTATGAATTTGACCATTCTGGGTACCTTGTATAAGTGGAATTAGACAGTATTTGTCTGCACCTACTGTATACTGGAATTTAGCTTTCTTCACTTTCCATTTCTTCTTGAACCCACTGTGGAATGAGCATGGCTCTTTCCAAGGTCGACTTCTGGTGGGACATTTCAGCCTTCGTATTATTTGGCTTCTCTGCTTCAGTTGGCATCACAGCCCTTGATTTCTGGGCACCACATCCTTGTAATGATCCTCTGTTGAGGATTCTCTCCTGCCCTTGACAGGCTGGTATTTCCTAGAGCTGGTTCTGTTCATTCTGGTCACGCTCAGTTGGTCCTCATCTCCCTCTGCACACCTTCCCCCAGGAGCTCAGCCAGGCCCTTTGTTTCCTCACTGTCTAAGGGCTTCCCTGGTGGCCCAGACAGTAATGCGGGAGACCCCGGTTCAATCCCTGGGTTGGGAAGATCCCCTGGAGAAAGGAATGGCAACCCACTCCAGTATGCTTGCCTGGAGAATCTTATGGACAGAGGAGCCTGGCGGGCTGAAGCCCAAGGACTCGCAAAGAGTCAGACGCTACTGAGTGAGTGACACTTTCATACTTTTGAGACTGATGTCCCTAAATCTGTACCCTCTAACCTTGTTCTTGAACATCAGCCCCACATATCCTGTTGAACGTTCTGCCCCCCTAACTCAGCATGTCCAAAAAGGAACTCTTTCTCTTTCCTTTCTCCCCACTCCTGCGCCTGTTGCTCCTCAACACCCATTGCCCCCAAGGAGAACATCTGACTGCTGGTCTAGTTACTTCCTGAGTATCTACTTCATCTGAGATTTTAGTCAGAGCCACATACTCATGGGTCCTTGAGTGACCCATGTCCTCCTGTGCCTCTCTGAGTTTTGAAACATTGTGTCTAAAATATGTAAAACCTATCAACTCCTATTCATCTTTCAGCACCCTCTGGAAATCACCCCTTCTGTAAAGCCCTCCCTGAAAGCTTTAGATTCAGCTGGCTGCCTGTCTGAGTCATATTACCCTTGAATCTCCCATCATAACATTCTCCTCACGACCTTATATCGCCTTTTTACTTGTCTGCCTCCTCCATCAGATTGTAAGCCTCTGGAGGGCAGGAGCTTTGTCCCTTTATTCATCTTTCTATCCCAAGAACCTAGCACAGGTCCCGGGACATAGTAGGTGCTCAGTTAATATGTATTGAATGAATGATTAAGTGAATGAATTTGCTTAGATCAGAGCACAAGAGACATAGAACTGTGTATCTTGAGTTTTTATTAATGCAGTCCACAGAGGCTATTAAATTTCCATGTTTCCAAGCAAATGTGTGCAGCTTCTTTCTTTCTGACAGTCTGTTTAGAGCAGTGTTAGAACTCTCTGTCATGATGGAAATGTGTTTTATCTGTGTCCAATACAGTAGCCACTAGCAACATGGGACAACTGAGAACTTGAAATGCATCTAGTATGAGTGAAGAACTGAACTTTTAACTTATCTTATTTCAACAAAAATAGCCAATGTGGCTGGTGTCTACTGTATTAGCACAGTTTTAGAGAATTCTTCAGTGTAGTTTTTAAGATCATATACACTGACCCAAATTAAGTTCTTATCAGTGGTCCTGATATTAGCTAGATGATCTTGGACTGGTTAGTTCATCCATGCTTCAGTTTCATTATTTCTGCATACCATAGAGTGTTACTATAAGAGATACATTTAAAAAAATATAGGTCTCTTAGAACATTGCCTAAGTGGTCCATGAGCATTCCACCCATGCTTCTGTCGGGGTGTCCCTTCCCCTACTAAGAAAGTGGAAGTGAAGAGAGACAAGCAGTGCTGTGCTAGACCAGCTGACAGTCAGCCACACACACCTCTTCCTACCTCTGCATAGGATCACACTGATAACCTGCCGTTGGCCTTGGTGGGGATATTTACATCATGGTGATTGGTTGAACTTTAGAAGAACACATTAATTTGCAGTTATCAATCGATAAAAGTGGAGTTTGCTACATAGATACAGCAGAATGGATAGAAAGATCATTAAAGGGTGAACTCTGCATTCTGAAACCTCTGCCATCCACTGCCACACCAAACAAATTTAAGACCTCTGATTACTACCCTTCAGACTAAGCTTCTTGTCCACTGCCCCACAAGTGAATTGACAGACGTGTATTAAAGGCCAGATACAACCTTTAACCTGGATATCTCAGGTTTACTTCTCTTAAGGATGCAGAAAGAAATCAATAAGGAGATTCTTGGGGAAGAATCTGTGTCTTGTCTTTTCCAGTTTCTAAGTGCTTCTTCTGGAATGCCCACATTCCTTGGTTTGTGACCCCCAGTCAGCAGCACATCACTCCTTCTCTGACCCTCCTTGCCTGCCACTTTCACTTAGAACTCTTGTGATTTCATTGGCCCCAGTGGGATAATCCAGGATAATCTTCCCATTTCAAGGTCTTCACTTTAATCATAGGGTCCATGACTCAGATCTGACTACCACCTTTTTCTACATGGTGTGCCAGTTAAGGATATTTCTCCATGTTTAAATAGGTTGGAAAAAAACAACCAGAGACTTCCCTGGTGTCCTGTGGTTAAGAGTCCACCTTCCAATGCAGGGAACATGGGTTCAATCCCTTGTCTGGCATCTAGGATCCCACATGCCTCAGGGCAACTAAGCCCATATACAGCAGCTGGAGAAAGCCTGTACACTGCAACAAAGATTCAGCATAACCAACATTTAAAAATAAATAAAAAATTAAACTTTAAAAAAGTTTTTAAAAGTCAAAAGAAGAACACATGAAAATGATATGAAATTCAGATTTCAGTGTTCAAAAATAAAGTTTCAGTAAAACACAGGCACACCCACCTGTTTGGGCATCATCTGTGGCTGCTTCAGTGTTAACCACAGCAGAACTGGGGGTCTGTGGCAGAGACTGGATGGCCCACAAACTAAAATATTTACTTCCTGGCTTTTTACAAAAGTTTACTGATCCTTGTTATAGAGACTTGGATGCCATTTACGGAGTTTGACTCTCATGTAGAAGTCAGTGAATTGGGATGCATTATGACCCATGCTGTTTTTAGGGAAGATGACAGTTCATGGGGTGAAGGTTCATAGGTAAGAGAGAGAGGCAGGGAGTTGCCATTATGGCCTATGACACTATGCAAGTAAAAAGTAATGGGGCTTCAGCTCCAGAAAAGGGAGGAAAGAAGGTGGGAAAGGTGACAGAGTCATTTGTTCATCAAGGTACATTTTTTTTTTAAGAAGTGAATTTCTGGAAATGTATTATTTTTTAAAAAACTTTATATTTTGTATTGGGGTATGACTGGTTAACAATGTGAAAGTTTTAGGTGAACAGCAGAGGAACTCAGCCATACATACACATGTATCCATTCTCCCCTGAACTTCCCTCCAATCCAGGCTGCCACATAACATTGAGCAGAGTTCCCTGTGCTGTACATAAGGTCCTTGTTGGTTATCCATTTTAAATACAGCAGTGGGTACATGTCCATCCCAAACTCGCTAAATATCCCTTCCCCCCACTCTTCCTCCAGGCAACCATAAGTATATTCTCTAAGTCTCATCAAGGTACATTTGTTGAGAGATTTCTTTGGGCTGGATGCAGTTATGAGAGCTGAGGGATGTAAGATAGAAATTCCAGAGCTTGGCAGCTCTCTGGCTGGCTCAGACAACTGACATTTGTTATCTCAGAGTTCTGGAGGCCAGAACTCGAACATCAAGGTGAACAAGGCTATGCTCCCTTCGCAGGAGGTAGGAAAGGATCTTGTCCCAGTCTCTCTCCTGGTTTCTGCTAGCTCCTCAGCTTGTGGTTGCATAACTCCAGTCTCCACATGGCATACTCCCTGTGTGCATGTTTCCATTTCCATAAATTTATGCTTTTTTAAAAAAATTTAACTGTGCTAGGTCTTAGCACAAGGAATCTTTGTTGTGGCATGCATGCAAGATCTTTACTTGTAGCATATGAGATCTAGTTCCCTGACAAGGGATTGAACCCTGTCCCCTTGCATTGGGAGCATGGAGTCTTAACCACTAGACCACCAGGGAATCCCTCATCTTGTTTCTGCTTGTACTCAATTGTGTCCAAATCATTACAAGTCCATGGACGGTAGCCTGCCACAATCCTCTGTCCATGGGATTCTCCAGGTAAGAATACTGGAGTGCATGGCCATTTTCTCCTCTAGGGGATCTTCCCAACACAGGGATCAAACTCATGCCTCCTGCACTGGCAGGCAGATTCTTTACCACTGAGTCACCGGGGAGCTCGAGGTCCCCATACATTTGTCGTTTTTATAAGGACACCAGCCATCTGGGATTAGGGGCCGCCCTGCTCCAGCATGACCTCATCTTAACTTACCTACTTACATCTGCAATGGCTGTGGTGGAGCAAGGTCACAATCAGAGGCTGAGGGTTAGGACTCTGACATGTGAGTTTGGGGGAGATGCAACTCAACTCATAACAGTTACCAGAGCCTGGAACAGGGTACCACTTGGGGAAACACCCCTCTTCTCCCTTAATCTGCTTCTGCCCACAGCCCAGAAGGACTTTCTACTTGAGGTTCCTCTGTCCACTTCTGGCGCCCCCCAGAGGGAGAATTGTCCATTGGGTGGTTCAGGGCCTGCTCCTTTTGTTCATGTCTCTAGGTGGGTGGGGCTGGTGGGGCCGCTAAGGCCACACTTGTGTGCATGGCTTCCCTTTGCCTGTCCAGTGATCCTGCTCTCTCTGTCCCCACGGGAGTGACCTAGTCCACCACACAGCCTCATGCTCCAGCTCCTTGCTGTGTGGCTGTCCGGCGGGACATGTTCTTCCAGGGCTGGTCTACAGATCCGGCTACTTCGTGTGTTCCTTATAGGACTGCCTGAGTGGACAGCCTGGGGTCTGCTTTCAGGGTGAGAATCAGACTTAACCCTGCAGGATGTAATATGTAGATGATCAAGATTTACAAAACTAGAGGTGATCAGTGTTCAAGAACCCCATTAAGGAAAAGCCAACAAGAAGAAAGGACATTTTGGGGACTTCCCTGGTGGTCCAGTGGCTAAGATTCCCAATGCAGGGGGCCTAGGTTTCATTCGTGGTCCGGGAACTGGATCCCACATGTTGCATGCCGCAACCAAGCTGATGAAGCCAAATAAACAAAAATAAATATTAAAAAAAGAGAGAGAGGGGCAACACCAGGTCCACTTCTCTCTCAGTCTCTCTCCTTTACCTCTCTTTCCCCTTCCTCCTTTAAGCAAAAAGAAGACAATGTTTTTTCTCAAAGCAAAGTTCACTTTATTACATTAGTTGTACATGCTAAAAGAATATGAAATGCAGACTTGGTCTAAATTCTCTTGCTGATTCTCTTGAAGACAATGTCGCCCTTCGTCATCGTCTGAAAGCCAGAAAAGAAATCATGAAATGTTCATCTGATGTAGAATTGTAAAGAATAGTTAAGCCCCAGTATGCTAATATATTCAGCAACTCAGAGACGCCTCTGATCTCTATAGGACCGGAGGAAGGATAGGCAATCTTTTCTAAAATCCCATGCCAAGTCTTTGTCACTTCTTCACATTCAGAGTTGTCCTGCCTTTTACAGAATTCCTTTCTACATCAATGACTTAGAGCAAGACCATCCAAACCAGTTCAATCCAATCCAATTTCTCAACATTTCATTGAACACTTCTTGCTCCTGCTCACTCTCTAACTTGTGTCTGACTCTTTGTGACCCCATGGACTGTAACCTGCCAGGCTCCTCTATCCATGGGATTCTCCAGGCAAGAATACTGGAGTAGGTTGCCATTTCCTGCTCCACAGGTGCCTTATTAGCATTCATTTCAAGATGGTAAGAAACGTAAAAAGCCCCTCTGTCTGTAATGAGAGTGGCTCCTTCTAGGGTTGTGCAGTGTATCACCATGGATATCAGTCTTGTGTGATAGATCCAGTTCAGAGGAACTCTAGCCCTGCCATTTCCTGGCTGTATGCTGCCTCAGTTTCCATATTTAGGAAATTCAGCATTGGTGGGACGATTTGAGAAAATGTGTGGAAACTGCCTGGGGCACAAAGGATGCTCAGGAAGTAGTAGCAGAGACTGACCACAGGAAATAGTCACTGCTCTTCATGTCTCCCCTAATCCCCCACTATCCACCTCCCCACCCAGCCCCAAGTACTAGGACGCCCAAGCTGAGAGTGCAGACTTACACTGGTGACAGTGTCACCGTTGAATTCAGTCACAGACTTGATGCCCTTGAAAGTTGTCACCAGTTTATTATCACCTTCCAGCTGAACCACCGCCTGTAGGGGACAGAAGAAATAGCCTGTGAGGAGGGGTCCAAG